TTAACTATAAAATATAAGAAAAATAATTTTTTTTTTTTAAGTATAAATAGTATTATAATAAATAAGTATATTATAATATAAATATTATAATAATAAAAAGAATTTTTAAGAAAGAAGAGAGTAGATTAGAAAAGAATAATATTAAATATTTATTATCGAACTAACTAATATTATATAATTAAAACTTTATTAAAATAAAATACTATTTAAAGATAGATTAAGTTTAAATATTAATTAGAAAGCTAATTAGAAAAAGAGATTAATTTCTTTTTTATTAATATATATCGTAGAGCTATATATAAGCGCTTCTTTTTATATTTCAAATATACTTTAGATATTTATAGTTATATATATACGCCTTCTCTTATATTTCATATATTTTAATATTCTTTATATACGCGATATACTTATTAAAGATAATCTTATTAATTTAATTAATTTCTATTTAATCTTATATTTACTAGTTATAAGAAAAGCTCTTTATTTTAATATTATAACTTTATTAATTTATTATTCTTAAATATCGAGTCGTTTATAATTTACGATTAATTTATTTACTCTCTTCTCTTCTTCTATTTTAAAAATAGAAGAAGATATTATTTCTTTTTTACTTTCGTCTATAACGAATTAATTACTATTTTTATAAGATTAAAGATATCGATTTAAAAACGAGGTCGTTTAATTAAAAGTAAAGAATATAATACTTTAATATTTTAATATCTAAGTAAAAGATATTATAATATTATTTAAATAAGAGAGAATTATATTAATAAGAAAGATTTTAAAATTTAAAAATAATTTTAACGCGATAAAAGATTTAATTTCTATATATAGAAGATTTAGATAATAACTAGTTTAGCTAATTAAATTATTAAAGCGTTTAAATTAAATTTTAATTTTATATTAATATCTAATAAAATTTATTTAATAGTTTTAAAATATTAATATACGCTCTTATTAATATAGCTAATAATTAGAATATTAATTAAAAAAATATAATTCTTAATTCTAATATTTAAAATAATATAATAATAAATAAGTATTAATATTAAAGTAAATAGAGTATATATTATATTAAGTAGAGAAGCGTTAATAACTAGATTAATTAGAGTTTTAAATTAATTAAATTAAATATTAATTTTATATTAATATTATTATATATTTTTAAATATATAACTATTAATTATAACGTTAATTAGAAAGAGTTAATCTTTAATTTAAAATATTAAGAATAATATAGCGATATATTATTAAAGCGATATAAGTTATTAAAGCGATATAAGTTTCTATTATAATAAGAAGATAGAATTTATATATTAAATATTAATTCTATTTTATTTCTAATATTTTATTCGTTTATATATCTCTTTTAATTTCTCTTTAAATATCTTAATTTTAAGATATTAATTAAACCTTTATTTAGCGTAAACTCGATTTTCTTAATTAACGATATTTAATATAAGATATTAATAAATATATTTCGATATAAAGATAATAATAAATCTTACTTTCTTTTTAATATTAATAATAAAAAATAATAAATATAATAATAAATAAAGATAATATAGATTATATAGAATTAGTTTAAACTTAATAATAATCGTTAATCTATTTATTAAGACTTAGAAATTAAAAAATTCTAGAAGTAAATATAATTTAATAAATATACGCTTATCGATTTCGAGGAGTTATATATTATTTATCGTTATTATAATAAAATTCTAATTTATCTATTTATAGATTATAAAATAAGCGATATAATAATATATATTAAATTTAAGAAATATATTAAGAAATCTAATTTAAGTAGTTTATAATAAATGAATCTAATTAATAGTTATAAAAATTAGATATATTTCTAAATTAGATAATATAAATTATTAATAAATAAAACGATAAATAGAATATCTAGCTTACTATTTATTCTAGAAAAAATAATATTAAGATTCTCTTATAATACTAGAAGATTAAAAGTTTATACGCGAAGACTTTTCGAAATAATTTTATCGCTAAATTATAAATATTAATATTTTATTTATAATTACTAATAATTCTAAAATACTATAACTTTTATACTATCTCGATTTTAATATATAATTAAAATTAATATTTATTATAAAGAATTAATTAATAAGAAAAGCTATAGAGCTAGAGATAAAATTATTAAAGAATTTATTAATTAATAATATTAAAGTCTCTCTAACTTTAAATTATTAATTATTTTATAATTATTAATTATTTATAATAATTCTAATCTTTTTATTAATATTAACTAATAATAGTATAAGATTCTTATAGACTTTAAGTATATCGAAGATAAATATATTAATTAAAAACTTATAAGTATTATTAATTTAATTCTTATAAAATATAAGATTTAAAATTATATATTTAAATTTATAATTAATAACGCTAATAATAATAATATACTCTTCGAAGATTTAATTATTTATTTTTTTATTTTTATAATAGAAAATCCGCTTAATATTAAAGAATTTAAGTTCTTAAATTATTTATAATATATTCTTTATATAATATATATTATTTAATTAATCTTAAAAGAACTTCTAGATAATATTAAGATTATTTTAATAAATAAGAAATTTTAAAAAAGTTAAAATAATAAAGAAGATAAGAATTAAGTTTAAATAAGTATAATTAATCTATTAATAACTCTAATAAAAATATAATATTTCTTATTATTATTCTAATTATTATATTATTAATTATATTAAAATTTAAAAAATTATTATATATATTAATATTAGTAATTAATATAAAGAGATCTTTTTTATATTATAAGCTAAATAACTTTAAAATAAAAATATTTTAATATTAAATAAATATTAATCTTTTAAAAAGAAGTAATATTATTAGAAACGCTTTTTTAAGCTCTTTTAGAATATTAAGACTCGCTAAAATTTAATTTATTAGATATTAATCCGCGCTCTACTTCTTTATATTAATATTATATACTTTTTAAAAAATAGATTAACTACTTACTTAAGATTAAGTAATAAAAAATAATTATAAATAAAAATTATAATTTAAGCGTCTAAATAATTTTCGATTAATTTCTAATAAATTTAATATTTAATTTAGCTTATTAGATTTTTTTATAAATTTATAAAATTAATAAATAGAGAAAAGAAGATTATAATTTATTACGTTTTTAATATTTATAATTATTTATTTAATTATATAAATAAAAAGCTTAGAAAATTAAGAAGAAAGAGAGTTTCTTAAAAAAAGAACTTTTTAAATTTTTTAAAACGGCTTATAAGAAATTAGCTATCTACTATAATCGAATTTAATTAAATTTAAACTATTTATATAAATAAGCTACGCTTTTATATTTAATCTATACTTATAAATCTAGTTATAATTTAAATTTTCTCTATAAAATTTCTAAAATCTAACTTAATTTCTATTATTTAAATTATTTTATATTATTTAAATATCTTATATAATATAATTATTAATATAAATACTTAATAGTAGATAAAATATAGATTTAGAGATCTTCGAAATTAAATTCGAGATTTATCTTCGCTAAAAAAAATAAGATTACTCTAATACTATATTTTCGTTTATATATACTAGAATTTAGCGTTATATATTCGTTTATATACGCTAAAATTTAATATTATATATTCGTTTATATACGCTAGAATTTAACGTTATATATTCGTTTATATACGCTAGAATTTAGCGTTATATATTCGTTTATATACGCTAGAATTTAACGTTATATATTTATTTATATATACTAGAATTTAACGTTATATATTCGTTTATATACGCTAGAATTTAACGTTATATATTCGTTTATATATATCGAAATTTAACGTTATATATTCGTTTATATACGTTAAAATTTAACGTTATATATTTATTTATATACGCTAGAATTTAGCGTTATATATTCGTTTATATATATTAGAATTTAACGTTATATATTCGTTTATATATATTAAAATTTAATATTATATATTTATTTATATACGCTAGAATTTAGCGTTATATATTCGTTTATATACGTTAAAATTTAACGTTATATATTCGTTTATATACGCTAGAATTTAGCGTTATATATTCGTTTATATATATCGAAATTTAGCGTTATATATTCGTTTATATACGTCGAAATTTAACGTTATATATTTATTTATATACGTTAAAATTTAACGTTATATATTCGTTTATATACGTCGAAATTTAACGTTATATATTTATTTATATACGCTAGAATTTAACGTTATATATTCGTTTATATACGTTAAAATTTAACGTTATATATTCGTTTATATATATTAAAATTTAGCGTTATATATTCGTTTATATACGTCGAAATTTAATATTATATATTCGTTTATATACGTTAAAATTTAACGTTATATATTCGTTTATATACGTTAAAATTTAATATTATATATTTATTTATATATATCGAAATTTAGCGTTATATAAATCTTATATTATTAATATTAAAATCTATTCTTCTTTATATAAGTTATAATATATTTTCTTTTATATTTACTAGTTATATATATTAAATCTCCGCGTTATATTAATTTAATATATAATATTATTAAGTATTATAATCTTTTATATATAATTTTAACTTAATTTTATTAATCTTAAAATAAATTTAAGTAGAAAACTCTATTAATACTTAATTTTTTAGTATATTATTAGTATATATAAAAGAATAAGATAGGGCTGAACTAGAAAACCTTGAATTTGTATATGCAGCCAATTATAAATTCGTTAGGTCTACGCTTTTTGGTTAGATACCGCAGGTAAATAAATTAGCGTCCGCAATTATTAAAAATCTATAAAAATCTATGTATAGAAGTCTTATCCTCTGAAATAACTAGCTTCCTACGGATGCTGTTTCTTCATAATTTGGTAAATTGTAGAGCTCAGTGTGCGCTTTCTAACGCTGTAAAAATAATGAAGTTTGGCCTACTATTGGTGGATTAAATGGACATTCAAATATGGTAGTCATGGTAGTCACACCAGACGCGTCCGGGATCGGATAATAATCCTTCCACCTATTTGTGTAACCATTCTTCTTCTACAATTCTACCAATTCTACCAATATAAACACATTTACCCTCGGTACCCTCGCACTCAGTTAAACAAGAGGAGGATCTACAACAGGCGAATACGGAGAATACTGCGGAGAACATTGCGGAGACAGTCATCAGCAGCAGTGACACAACAGGCCTACTCTCCACGATCTCACACCAATCCACTCAGCCAGTGCAAGAGAAGTCAATACAGCAGGCGAATGCGGAGAACACTGCGGAGAAACCAAGCGGCAACAAGGCCCCCAGCACCAAGAACACGGCTCAGCTCTCCAAGATCCCACGTCATATGCTCTCCACGATTCCACATCAAATCATCACTTAGCAAGCGGAGAACACCACTGCAACTTAGCCTGTCATCCCCACTACATTAAGGAGTAAGAGGAGGAACTACAACAGGCAAATGCGGAGAACACTGCGGAGAACACTGCGGAGAACACTGCGGAGAAACCAAGCGGCAACAAGGCCACCATCGTCAAGAACACGGCTCAGCTCTCCAAGATCCCACGTCATATCAGTCATCCACTCAGTCAGCCACTCAGCTAGCCACTCAGTCTGATACTCTACAAGAGGAGGAGCAAGAGAAGGAACTACAACAGGCAAATGCGGAGAACACTGCGGAGAAACCAAGCGGCAACAAGGCTACCATCGTCAAAAACACGGCTCAGCTCTCCAAGATCCCACGTCACATGCTCTCCACGGTTCCACATCAAATCATCACTCAGCAAGCGGAGAACACCACTACAACTTGGCCTATTATCCCCACTGCATTAAGGAGCAAGAGGAGAAACTACAATAACGTCACAAGAGAAGGATCTACTACGACGATCACAGCCAATTAGGCCTCTGCAGGAGGAACATCGAACGATACATATTTGGACGAATTAAAACCGTCCGATGTCTTACTCTGACAGCTATTTCATTATTCGAATGATTTCACTACGGTAGGAGATAATGTGGGATTCACATCACTAATTAGCATGTTGTCTCCATTTCTTTCCGGTATTTCGATACTTCTTGCCATAAGGACATGGCCTTTCTCTGTTTTTTATAGGCAATTATTACGAATCAATCCTTCACATTCGATACACCTTTCTAATTAGGCCTTAGCGCGCCTCTCTCCACATATATATATCTATATATCACATAGATTAAATTAATTTTATAGTGGTGGAAGTAGGTTAAAAACGTATAATAAGCGATTAGAGTTTGATTTGTACTTAGGGCTAGGGCTAAAATTCGATTTAACTTAGAAAAATTCAACTTCATTTGACTTAGAAAAATGAAAAATTCAACTTTATAAATTTAATTCATAGGCCTTTACTTGTTTAATATATAATATTTATACTTTATATATATATAATTTTTAATAAAAATACGTAATTACGTAATATAATCTTTTTTAAAAATTTTAATAAAAGTTAAATAAATAGTTAAATAGATTTTTATTAAATTAGAAGTTATAATATAATAATTAAAAAGTAAACTTTTAATTTTATTTTATTAAAAAATTTAGCTAAGTTAGCTATAGTAGTAATATTAATATTTAAAAATATTATATATCTTAATAAACGCGTAATATTATATAGAATTTTTTTTATAATATATAATTCTCGAGATAATTATTATAATACTCGTCGAATCGATAACGCGGCGTATTAGAGAAAATGTATAGCTTTATTAATTAGTTTATTACTTCGATTAAATATTATAATCTCTCTCTATTTTTTAAATAGTTAGATTTATAAGAGTTATCGCGATAATATATATAAGTAAATAAGTAAGTAAAATATTATTATAGCGATATATATAAATAAATAAGTAATTAAATTTATAAAGAGTAGAGTAAAGAGCGAAGCGAAGATAATTTATTCTTTTAAGTTTATAGCTTTTTTATCTTAATATATACTATATAATAGAATAAATAAGAGATATTAACTCTTATATTTAAGTATCTTTTAATATAAGAAAAATACTTAAACTTCTTATAAGTAAAATAGTAAATTATTATATATAATCTCTTATTATTAATTATCTTTTCGACGTAGTAATAATATTCGTTATCTTTTATTTTATCTATTATTTATTAATAATATATATCTCTTATATTAATTAATTATCTTATCGCTAGCGAGTAAATTATTTATCTCTATTTTTAAGAAAGTAGATAAAATCGAAGAGAGAGCGTCTAGAGAGTTTAGCGTAGAGAGCTATAATTCGATTTTAATATTTAATAGCTAAGATAAAGAAAGCTTCGCTTTTAAGAAAGTAAAATAAAAATAAGAAAGAGAAGTTAATAAAGAAAGAAGAAGAGAAGTTATTAAAGAGAGAGAAGACTAATCTATTATTATTAATAGAATTTTAATAAAAAAACTTTAAATATATATCGAAGCTTCTATTATTCGTCGAGCGATTTTCTTCTTTATCTTAATAATTTAAATTCGTAATTCTATTTTATCTCTAGATTTCATTAAGATCTTAAATCTCTTATCTCTTCTTTTATTTATTCTTTAATTTATTTTTTAATATCTAAGACTTTTAGCGATAGTATTATCTCTTATTTAGAAAACTTAATTTTTTTAATTTCTTTTAAATCTATAACTTCTTTACTCTAATATACGCTAAATAATAAAATAAATAAAAGATATTAGCTTTTATATTTAAGTATCTTTTAATATAAGAAAAATATCTAAACTTCTTATATATAAAATAGTAAATTATTATATATAATCTCTTATTATTAATTATCTTTTTAACGTAATAATAATATTCGCTATCTTTTATCTTATCTATTATTTATTAATAATATATATCTCTTATATAAATTAATTATCTTATCGCTAGCGAATAAATTATTTATTTCTACTTTTAAGAAAGTAAGTAAAGTTAAAAGAAAAATATTTATAAAGTTAAGAGTAGAAAGTTATAATTCGATTTTAACGCTTAATAATTAAGATAAAGAAAACTTCGCTCTTAAAAGAGTAGAATAAGAATAGAAAAGAGAAGTTAACGAAGAAAGGGGAGAGAAGTTATCGAAGAGAGAGAAAGCTAATCTATCGTTATTAATAGAATTTTAATAAAAAAACTTTAAATATATATTAAAGCTTCTATTATTTATCGAGCGATTTTCTTTTTTATCTTAATAATCTAGATTCGTAATTTTATCTTATTTCTAAATTTCGTTAAGATTCTAGATCTCTTATTTCTTCTTTTATTTATTCTTCGATTTATTCTTTAATATCTAAGACTCTTAGCGATAATATTACTTCTTATTTAGAAAACTTAATTTTTTTAATTTCTTTTAAGTCTATAATTTCTCTATTTTAATATACGTTAAATAATAAAACGAGTAAGAGATATTAGCTTTTATATTTAAATATCTTTCGATATAAGAAAAATATCTAGATTTCTTATACGTAAAATAGTAAATTATTATATATAATTTCTTATTATTAATTATCTTTTTAACGTAATAGTAATATTCGCTATTTTTTATCTTATCTATTATTTATTAATAATATATATCTCTTATATAGATTAATCGCTTTATCGCTAGCGAGTAAATTATTTATCTCTACTTTTAAGAAAGTAAGCGAAGTTAAAGAGAGAATATTTATAAAGTTAAGAGTAAGTAGTTATAATTCGATTTCGATATTTAATAATTAAAGCGAAGAAAGTTTTATTTTTAAAAGAGTAAGATAAAAGAGAGAGAGAGAAGTTAGCGAAGAAAGAGAGAGAGAAGTCGTTAAAAAGAGAGAAGATTAATTTATTATTATTAATAGAATTTTAATAAAAAGACTTTAAATATATATTAAAGCTTCTATTATTTATAAGACGATTTTCTTTTTTATTTTAATAATCTAAATATATATAGAAGAGTTAATTTTATTAATTAAAATTCGTTAATATAAAAAGCGTATTTTTATATATCTTATAACTCTTTATAATAAAAAGCGCTTTATAGTATTATCGATATTAAATAATATATAATATAATAAAAATTAAGTAAATTTTAATATTAGCTTTATAAGTAGAGATAAATAATAAATATATTATAATAAGTATATTATAATAAATTTATAGTTTTCTATATTATTTTATCGCGAGTAATAATAAATATATAATTTCGTAAGAATTTAATCTTAAATAACGATTATATAATTAGAGATTTTCTAATAATATATATAATATTAAGCTATAATTTATCGAGTTAATAGAATATATAATTATCTTCTTATTAAGATTTATAATAACTTAATTATTATTTAATTATAATAATTATTATAATAGAGTTAGCTTTTAAGATATATTAATAATTTAAATTATTATCTTTAATATTTAAATATTATCTTATAATTTAAAAATAATTATAAGATATATATTATAAGCGATAGCGAGAGTATAAGATATATAATAGATTTATTATAATAAGTTTATTAAGAAGAAAAGAATAAGCGTTAGAATATAATAATAAAAATAATAATAATTAATTTTATTCGAGCGAGCTAGTTAAAATATAAGACTCTTCGCGTTAAAGCTATATATAATATAATTATAATTACTATTTTTCTTTAAGCTTTCTTCTATTATAATTTTATAATCTTTTATCTCTTTTAATTATAATAATCTCTTTTCTTTAAATTATAATAAAATTAGATCTTAATTTATTAAGATTTATTTTCTAATCTTAATTATTAGAAAAGCTAGCGCCTCTATATTTATAAATCTAATTATAAAATATTATTAAATATTATAATTTTTTATATATATTAAAATCTTATAAATAAAGATTTCTTAAAGCTCGATAATTAGTTTTCTAGAATAATATATCTTAATTAGATCTTAATTAATTAAGAGTTAATCTTATTAATTATATATATAAAGACTTAAATTAAATATTTTATCTTATTTTTAAGAGAGTAAATAAAGTAATATACTTAGCTATATTATATTATTACGTTTTTATTAACTTTACTCTATTTATAGAAAACGAAATAGCTCGCTAATTATTAAGCTATTATTCTAAATATAGTTTATACTTATAATCTATCTTTAATAAGTCGAAGTATTATATTTATATTTAAAGCCCGCGTATAGATATAATTTTATATTATCTCTAGATTTTATTTAAATTCTAAATCTCTTATTTCTTCTCTTATTCGTTCTTCGATCTCTTCTTCGATATCTTAAACTCTTAATAATAATATTATTATTTATTCTAAAATATTAACTTCTTAAACTTCTTCTAGATTTATATCTTTTCTACTCTAATATATACTAAATAATAAAATAAATAAGAGATATTAGCTCTTATATTTAAGTATTTTTCGATATATAAAAAATATTTAAACTTTTTATATATAAAATAGTAGATTATTATATATAATCTTTTATCGTTAATTATCTTCTTAATATAGAAATAATATTCGTTATCTTTTATCTTATCTATTATTTATTAGCAATATATATCTCTTATATAAATTAATCGCTTTATCGCTAGCGAATAAATTATTTATCTTTATTTTTAAGAGAGTAAATAAAGTTAAAAAGAGAAAGTTTAAAGAGTTAAGAATAGAGAGTTATAATTTAATTTTAACGCTTAATAATTATAAAAGCGAAGTAAAATAAGAAAGAGAGAGAGAAGCCGACGAAGAAAGGATTTTATCTATTATTTATTAATAATATATATCTCTTATATAAATTAATCGCCTTATCGCTAGCGAATAAATTATTTATCTTTATTCTCGAGAAAGTAAATAAAGTTAAAAAGAGAGAGTCTAAAGAGTTAAGAGTAGAGAGCTATTATTTAATTTTAACGCTTAATAATTATAAAAGCGAAGCG